ACCAAGTTTCACAGAACTGCAAAGCAGACTGGACCTGTTCCTGAAATTCGATTTGGTGAGATACACCATTATACTAGAACGCCCCTTCCTTCACGCAGACTTACACTGTTTGGGTTGCTGTTACAATTTCTTGGGGCTGCGGGACGGGATAAATTCAAAACCTTGACTGTTTTTGCTTTATATTTTTAATATCCTAGGATGCCCTGGACATGCCTAACTTCATGGCTGAGTATTACACCTACCTACCCTGAATCGACCATGAAAAGCTTCACTTCAGTACGTTAAGAGGGGAAACCAGCCTGGTGGCTCAGGGTTATTTTGGGACAAGTCCTCTCATGAACTTCTGCTGTTTGCTTGTTTTTTGACTCTTGGACCTAGCGATTTTTCTTGTATCACACTATACACAGAAAAGAATAATAAAATCCAGTAGCCCATAAATGTTTTTTCTAGCACAACAGTTTTCACTCTTTTAGAAGCGAAAATCTTTTTTACATAACATATTACACGCACGAATTTGCATATGTAAATTGCAGAATAACAGTTGTCCGCGTAGAACACAAGAGGGCGCTATATACGCTCTGTGGTTATGAAGGAAGGCTCATTTTAGAGTAGGCCTAATTATGCACGACCCTGCACAGAAGTACTGTGTCCTGTATCCTATCCGCAACGTCTGGTTTGCTGTTACTACATGTACTCTCGTACTTATAATGTGTACGGAGTTATTTTTCTTTAACATTGCTAATACAGCTTCGTAAAAACCTTGACCAATTCCTTTTAATACAAATGGCCAACGTTCGCAAACATCTTATTCAACCCCCCCCCCCACATCGAGGGGGCATATGTCAACTGTCTAGTAGTAAGCATTATATATTATTATGTAAAGCGGGAGTGCAAAATGTAGTTGTTCGAGGTGTATTTTATTAGAGTTTGTTTTTACTTACTTGATTTTACTTTGAAAGAGAAGATGTACATAAATGTTGAATTAAAGGAAATCAGAAAGGCAACAACGAATGTGTGACGAGAGGACACACTACCCTTTTATCAATCGACCATGCCACAAAAATGACAACGTACTATCAAGGTTCAAAGGTAACAACTGGAAGCAGAACATTTGTACAGAATATACCTACGTGTATCTGTAAACTCTGAGAATTTATTGCTGGTTATCTTGGAAATTTGTGAGTTTTGAGTGACGTAACTGTTACATTTCCGTAGCGAAAGGGACAGTTAATTGAGTATCGGTACTTCATTGTAACGACATCACTGGTGAGTCTATCTTATCAAGCGTGAGAAAATCGGCTCGACTCGGACAGTTTCGGAGTACCATAGTACTTTACCTCACACAACACGAAAAAGGGAATAAATATTTTTGATAAATTGAGCATTTAAGTTCTCTTTTTGGATCTTTATGTTTTATGTAATAACTGTTATTAAGAGATGATAGATGAGGGTCTAAATTGAAAACATACAAAGTTTTGATTAAATTTTGTGCATGTCCTTATGGGAATGTCTCCTACTAGTAATGACCCATTTTCGGTAATAAAGAAAATAAATGCAAGCATATGGTGAAAATATTGGAAATTCCGCGATGAGAATTTATAGTCTGATGGGAATTCCCTCCTCTTGAATAATCAATAGACTTGTTCTTAGTCCTTGCACTGTCCCTCAGACTATGAATGTTGTTAACGGTTGCAACAATGTAACTCCGAAATAAAACCTCTAGCTTTATGTTTATGAGGAAACTAGCATATAGCTACTCTAAAAGTGCATTTTACCATCAAATTGGTTAAAGTTTTATGTGCTGTTGAAGGTTTTGTACCTTCTCGTGTAGGTTGTTGAGCATAATGAATAAATGAAAAAGAACATTAGGGGCCTATCATTGGGCAGCCATAGTTGATAAGCAGACATCATCAGAGAAAGTTCAAGAGAATAAAAACATTCCGGACTAACTATATTTGGAATCATCATCTCTTCGTTTTCAAAGGAAGTTACGTTGGTCACACACAGCACAACTACTATAAGCAAGGGTAGATCCAGGAATATATGGGGGGGGTCAGGCCGAAGATTTTTGCAATGTCCCATTTTTGTGGACTTTTGTAGTATCCCCTTTGTACACACAATAAGATTCTATGCGGTGATATCTCGTTTCAAAATTTACGTTGCCATTATTTTATTATTTTGCTGTTTTTGCACCCCCCGATCCGCGCCTGGGGGGGGTGTCGACTGTCAGCGTATCAGCTATCGCGTGTCAACTCGAACTATGAGTCCCCACCTGATACCAACTTCCGGTCTGTGACTGATGAGCTGGCTTTGTATGCCAACAGTGCATGCCCAATCCAGGGCTAGCTGTTTGAGAACAACTATACGCGCGCGCGTATATACACTTGGACAGCCACCAATGGAATTTCGGGTGAGTTTATTTTAGGTCAAAAATATTCTTTCCAGAAAACAGGTGGTCTCCTTTATAACTGCCCCCCCCCGACGCCAGGAGAGTAACGACACCTTTTATATCCTCAACATCCAGGAGCAAACATGAAGAACTTGATACTGATGCATCTCCTTGTCATTAATGTCTCTGGATATTTCATGGATGTCGAGCACCAAGTGGCAAAAGAACGAAGCTGGACTGGTGGTCTAATGGCTAGTAAAACCAACTCGCCCACTTGGCGATTTAGCACAAAAGATATATCATCCACTCATAGAAGATTCAAGAGAAGTGGTAAGGAGGCATATAAGCAGAGACAGCCACAGTGACTCATTCCTGACCTTTTCCTGTGACTTGTTTTAAGTCATTCACCCCAACACCCCATCCGTTACTTCTTACAGTCATCGTAACTTTCATGAGCTTCAGTTTTCACCACAGGTCATAATTTCTCATGATTAACGTTGTCAAGCAATTTCTGATGGGCTCATTATCCATTAGAAGTATGTGTTACCAATTGTTTGTGCAGAGGCGTGCGAGCCACCCATGCAGGTGATTCAAAGGAAGGTGTACCTCCAGAGTGGTCGTGCCTACTGCCTTCCCTGCTCAGTCATCCGACCCGGTGATGTTGTGACAGTCATCTTCTGGTTCAGAGGAGAGAGTGAGGATGCCACTTTACGAGATCTCATCCTCCGCCATGTTTATCCTGATGATGGTCAGAGCTTTGCAGTGGACGACCGATATCAAGATTTCACCCTCTCACGGTCTCATAATCGATCCAGTGGATGCAAATGATACTGATAGGTACTGGTGTAAGACTGTGCGTGCGTCTTCCAGCCAATTTGTCGAAGACTATCTGGATGTGACCGTGTTGGGTAAATGAGTTCCTCCTGTCTTGTAACACCGTCTTATTTTTCATGTCGATAGCCGGTACAGAATATTCGTGACCATGGCATCACTGTGACTCCTTAACATAATGACACTGCACATCTAAACAAAAGAAGTCTTTAATTAACAAGTGTCGGATTCTANCCAGTTACTGAAGATCCTCATATGCGTATCGTTATCCTTTATCGGCATAACAGTGACTGTAACGCGCAAATGCAATTTGCGTTATCACGCTTGATCGTGTTTACAATTTTAAAATATCTTCATTTTAAGCAGGAAATATGATGTAAAACCATACAGGTCGTTTATGAATGATTTGCCTTTTCTTCAGATGAAACTTTTCCCGAGGAAAGAGATTCAATCGTAAGTGAGACATCTGAATCGATGGACATCCAGAGTCGCAATACGATCCAGTGCCCCCTTCTCCCTCAGCTGCCGACCCAGACGGACTTCACAGTGTACTGGACAATCAAGAACTCCGATGGTCAAAGTCTTAACATCATTGCCGCCAAGTTTCCTAATGGAGAGATAATTTCAGTTCAAGAATTTGATGAGACACACAGCCTAACAGGCAAGAATGCGATGCAGGTGGGGAGGTTCTCCAAACGACAAGAGAAGTACTGCTGTCATGTGTTCGAGCAAGACAACGATCTCAGGACAGCTTGCGTTGATGTAACCTGGTTGGGTGAGTGCTCTGTTTGAGATGTCACTAATTTCTTAATTGTCAAATTGTTCCAGAACGGGAAGCTGCAGTGTACGCATGAAAACAACAATGTAGGATACGTATATTCAACGACACAGGAAGATCCCCCGTTACAATGGAAACCATAGAGTGGGTAGGATTCAAACGCCTTTAAGTTTGAAGGAGGGATAATATGGAAATCTGCCTTAGACGACAGGTAAGTTGTAGATGAAGTGCAAGTTGAATTGTAACCGGAAGGGGTGTGGAAACGCAGGGTAGTACGGACTCGCGGTTTTGCCTTCATCATCCGCCAACTACAAAGATCTTTATTAAACAAGGCTTTTACTTTACCTCATCTACAGCTGTGGCAACCAAAATGCGTCCCACCATCAAAGGCTGTATGCCCACCAGCGATGACTGTGCTATTGAAGTTACACCACATCAGGAGTGTCTACAACTTGAATGTTCTATAAATGCTGTTTACCCAAAACCAACGCTCAACTGGTCCACCTCAGGTTGTAAAGAGCCAGCCATATACTTCACAAATTCATCGGTAGACCGGACTAGCGAATTGTTTAATGTGAAATCCACGGTTTACATTGTTGATTTGAACAAATCGCTGGAACTTTGCAGTACTTTCACCTGCACAGCGCAGGGTGAGGCAATTACGGATCAGACACAAACATCCTTCATTATGATCTCTCGTAAGTGCATCTATATTGATGCCATCAATAACATTACTTGGTTGGCAATAAACGAAAACACACGTGAGTTAACCATCCGATCCTCACAGACACATTCCTTCCTCCATTTTACAGGTCAAAAAGAAACCACAACACCATCCATAGCAACAACTTGTATCTGTCCCAGCTGCAACTCTTCCGGATGTGGTGTGGAGCTCTTTTTTGCAATCACCTTACTCTTAATATTTTTATTGTTGTTTCTCTTGTTATTGTTACCAAGAAGCAAGAGATTCATTCTAACATGTGCTGGCGTTATGCCGACATTACCTCGCTATCCCCATAAGTGCGCAGTTCGGCGAACAGCAAACGAACCCGCTTTTGAACCTACTGAGGCAAATACACAAAGCCAGTCGGCCAAAGGTAAGACCTTTTCTCACTGTAAAACTCACACAAACCAATGTAGAAGCCGTCTTGATGCATAGTAGGCCTACGATAGAAACTTGAGAATTTGTATTATAAGGCTATATCACGTTACTTATGGTGAATTAATTTGTAGTCCGTACCTCCTCCGTTATGTTGGATGAAAATAGATGTGGATTGTCAACTTGAAGTGACAGTACCTTTGATGACGATTGGCGCCAAGGATGAAAAAAGTGCAGACGATAAAGAAGGTGATTTATAATAATTCTGGTCTTTAATACCCCAAAAGTATGATCTGTCGCTTTAAAGTAATAACTATCCCCACCGCTCTCCAAACACCAAGTCTGTCAGTGTTTCCACGTAGCAAATTAATTCTAAGCACAATTTGGATGAATTCCGAGCACCAAAAACGCATTTCATAATAAAAGTGCTCTATGGTAGCGGCGTAATGCTATCTCAAATGCCTACTTTTTCAAACTATACCCGTTTAAATGTGTCCTTATAACTGAACACCAATATGCTAGACAAACTGATAACAGAAGCATTGGTTTCTCCCTGCCTTCATGATGTATAGGACCGGTATGCTTTGTGAATCGGAGCAACCAGGACGTCGATATTACAGGTTTGCTCTTATATAGTCATTGTTATTTGGGGCGGCATCAATGACATTTCATTGGAACTACATTCTAATTAATTGCATTCCGATGGAGTTTTGTAAAGTCGCCAACAATAAGCAAGTCTAACGTCAGTGAATCTTGTATAACAATACGACAAAACATTCTGTTGGTAATAGTGTTCTTTTTAAATGCTAAACCCGTTGGGTTTTGATCGATATTAAACGTTCAGCTAACGGTGTTCAGGAGTGAAACACCTATTTAACATCTAAGCATGTTTACAAAGCGAAAGCAAGACTTGCATTATGTTGCTTAAATTAAAATAGGTAATGGAATGAGAAGATAATGACAAACATACATTTGCGATCAGTGTACTTACTTCAATGATAGCTAATCAGATCCCCAGAACACCTTGGAAGTAATTTGATGCATTGTGATTGTTTTTAGATCCCCAATTCACTTGGCAGTACAAGGGAGAGTTGACGACTGAGTCAGTGTTAGACAAGAAGTATGTCAGTGGATTCCAGTCTATCAAATATGTCATCTGCATGGAGGATAGTGGCGTAGTAGTCATTGACATCACTGGCTTACATCAGTATACTGATGAGTATCGCTACCGTTTTGTCGATCTCAAGCGAGCTTTTGGAAACATAGACTACGCTTGCGTGACATGCTTTACGAAAACTAAGCTAATATTCGGGCTGAAATGGGGTAAACTTGTCATTTTTGACACTTCAAATGAACACCTTACTAATTTCGCCTCTGTTACCCCGGTAAAAGGTAGGGGGGTAGAGTTGGAATCCATAGCGGTGGGTAGCTCGGGGCTTGTGTTCGCCAGTGATAAGAATGGGAAAGCAATCTCCATATTTGACCAAGAGGGTGTGTGTTTGGAACGTTGTGAGATTCCTAGTATCGAGCCGCGGTGTTTGGCTGCATATGTCAGAAATGAGATTTCAAGCTTCTTCGTAACAGCAGAAACAGTAGTTAGGAAGTACAATATTACTGGACAGATACAGTCATCGATAAATCCTAAACACCAATTTGACATCGACAAACAATTCCTCGGTACAGACTTCAAACCCATTCACATCTCTGTCAAAGAAGAAACACTGTTTGTTGTAAATCAACTCGATGATGTCGAATCGCTTCAGATTTTACCACTGAATGTAATCGACCGGAAATTTCAGCGAAGTATCATAGCAAATGCACCGGGGATTCGGGGTGTCAGGCTGAGCAGTGGTGACAAAGTGATTGTGTACAGTGACAGCTCTGTGCACTTGCTTGAAAAAAAAAAGAAGTGATTAAGAACAAGGCCCTTCCCCTCCCCCAAAACGCCGACGTAGGGCTGGCCAATCCGATTGCTTATAGTTGCATGGTAAAGCTCCGGTACGGTGTTTCTGAGGCCGCAGGCTCGAATTTCGCTAATGTCTATATCTTTGTTCATCTTTATAATGTAAGTACCTAGACAGATACAGATATTTTGATGGTTTGTGTTCAAAAATCTGTGTCTCCTGTGTTATCCCTGTTCACCACTTCTCAGGTTGCCGCGTGTATTTGGGGCGTGATCCCTGGCTACATTCACTGGACAGCAAAAGAAACTTGCCACTTCTGTCAAAGGCAACACATAAAAAAATTCACTCCATAGAAATAACAATTTTGTACACAACTATGCTGCAGTACCCCTTACTAATCATATGCCCAAAAGCAAGTGATTATCTTTATAACAAAAAAGAAATTGGCATGCACAGCAACTTGGTTACTGTGAATTTTATGTGTGGCCTTTGACAGAAGTTGTAAGTTTCTTTTGCTGTCCAGTGTAGTTTTCAGGTTAAATGGCTTCCGACCAGCGCCCCAAAAGAAAGACATTGACAAGGGAGAAGAGCTACCTACGTAGGGCTGGATGAAGCAAGATATGGGATGGAGAACACCCCCCCAATGCGTCGGTCATTGTTTGATCGTATTCTCAGAATTCTTTTCAGACACCCGGGGGATGTGTCAAGCAACAATAGTCAAGAGTGCGTATAGGGCTTAGACAAATGGGGGTACCCCTCCGTCCCATTTTACTGGGTATAGATATAAGTTGGTAGAGTACCAGAGTGCAGATTCTTTTGATTCGCATGAACGAGGACGAGAAGCTTCCTCCGCCCACTATTGTCCAGACTGTACAAGAGAACAGAACTTTGTTAACTAATGCTTTGAGCCATGAGATGAATTCCATCGATTGCCCAGCGTTTGGCTAGCTATGTACATCTGCATGTACATAAAAGCCTTACGCCTGGCCTAGGCCCTTATATAATTGAGTAACTTCTCGGCTGGGTCACTATGAACATCCAACAAAAGAAGTACCGTGTACTAACAATGGACGCTCATTGTTAATGCACTGTGTTTCTGCTGTTAGATGTTCGTAGTGTGTGCACAACTGTTTTTGTTCATTCACATGCACGGTGCATGTATGCTTATGAAGTAATCCAGAGACATACAGATCAGTCGACCTTAAGGCACACACTGTCTTCATTTCTTCACAAGACCTAAGTAGGCTATATGCTGCGGAAATATGCCAAATTAAAGTCATAAAATGCTA